CCCCAAAACCCCAAAACCCCAAAACCCCAAAACCCCAAAACCCCAACCAATACCTTAAAAATTGAATTCCACTCACTCCTATAAATTCATAAATATTTTTATAAATCAATTAAAAATGAATAGGCCAATACCGTCTGAAGAGTCTGAAAAGCCCTTGAAAGATGAACACGACAATATTCAAATGAAAATATCATGGAAGGATCTCCACTATACTGTCAAGGCGACGTATAATAAAGCCCAAATAGAAGATCTCGACATTAAAGAGAAGCATTATAATAAAGAAATTCTCAAACCACAAAGTGGTTATGTAAAATCTGGGGAAACATGTTTTATCATGGGTTCCTCCGGAGCTGGTAAGACCACTCTACTTAATGTACTCTGTGACAGAATCACTCGGAACAACAAGTGTAAGCTTGAAGGAGAAATATTGCTTAACGATACGTACCCAGTGACACAAAAAGACTTTGGAAAGTACGGAGCCTATGTAATGCAAGACGATGTGCTCTTCCCTACACTAACTTGAGAAGAAGTGATTACCTTCTCAGCAAGGCTCAAGCTCAACATCACTGGTCAGGAGCTTAGAAGGAGAGTTGATCGGATCATTGACAGCCTTGGCCTTTTGAAGTGTAGAAAGACCAAGATCGGAAGTCAACAGCTTAAAGGACTTAGTGGAGGTGAAAGAAAGAGAACTGCTATCGGAGTTGAAATGATCACTAACCCTAGAGTCCTATTTCTAGATGAACCAACTTCTGGATTGGATAGCTTCACAGCTAATAAGATTGTGAGGCTTTTAGTAAATCAATCTCGTCAAGGGAGGACTGTTATTGCGACAATTCATCAGCCAAGTTCAAGTACTTTTGCATTGTTTGATAGATTAATATTGCTGATGGATGGACACTTGATCTATCAAGGTAAAGCTGATCAGGCTGTCAATTACTTCCAAGGACTAGGCTTCAAGATTCCAACATATGCAAACCCAGCAGACTTCTTTCTTCAGGAGTTCTATGTTCCTTTTTATAAAAAGAAAGAAGACCTAGAGAAGTTAGAGTTACTAATCCGAGGATATCAGCAAAACATGAAGGTTGCAGTAGAAAATGAAGACGCCAACATAAATAACTTAGAAGAAATAACTTCAGAGAAACTTGCTGATACCACCAACCATGCAGGACCCTGAATAGAATTTATAGAGATTGTTAAAAGAACGGTCAAAAATATTGCTAGAAATCCCATAATCATCAAAATAAGAACCATGCAAACTTTGGTAGTATCCATCCTGTGTTGACTAATCTTTTGGGATTTGACAGAAGATAGGCAAGGTGCTAACGGAAAAGCAGGATTCTGCTTCTTTATTGGAATCAACCAAACAATGACAGCACTTATGGGAGTACTCTTAATCTTTATCCTCGAGCGCCCAGTCTTTTTACGTGAATATGCGAATAAAACATACGGTATGACTCCTTACTTTATTGCGAAGTCAATAGTAGAAGCTCCATTTCAGCTAATATTTCCCTTCTTAACTTCTCTGATTACCTATTTCCCAATAGGATTTACAGCGGAGTTTGATAAGTTCTTGATCTTCACACTTGTCCTCATGGTTCTCGTCTTTTGCTCAACTTCAGTCGGATTCTTTGTTGGATGCCTCTTTGATAATGCTTCAAAGGCAACCCCTGCTTCAATGATGATAATGCTGCCTTATATTATCTTTGGAGGTTATTTTGTTAACCTCAAAGATGTGTATGTGTGGCTCAGATGGATACAGTACATTTCTCCACTAAGATACTCGACAGAAGCGTTGCTGAGAAACGAATTTGAAGATAACTCAGATTACTCAGCTGAATTTCAGAAAATCTATGAGAGATATGACTACAATTTCGGCCTATGGCCATGCATTGGAATGCTATTTCTTCTCTCTTTTGTTTTCAGAATTGGGGCTCTCATAGCACTCAAGTTAACAGTTGCAAAAGTGCAGTAGTGTCATCATTAAATTTGAAATTTGGATTTATTAAGGTATTTGATCAACTATTCTTACTCAATTTTCCTCATTTAACCTCTTTTACAAGTTAGATCCTTCATTGTTAGCATTGTTATTCTCTCTGGTAGCTATACTAATTTTCAAATTGTAAGCCAGTCGTTCAAAGTTAACATTTTTGAATCACGTAACACTTCAAAATCCATAAGAGTCACGTGACTATTTTGCATTTCTATCAATATTAATCGATATTTCAAGAATTTTGAATGCTATGGGGTTTTGGGGTTTTGGGGTTTTGGGGTTTTGGGG